GCGGGGGTGCGGGTGTGGGGGGGGGGGGGGCGGTGTTAGGCTGGGAGGTTGGGTGCAGGAGCGGCCAGGGGGTTTGTGTTAGGCCAGGAGGTTGGGTGCAGGAGCGGGCTGAGGATGGGGGTCTGACTGGGGTTCTGGCCAATGGGAGCAGCTGGGAAAGCCTCCAGGTGAGCCGTTCCCTGTGCTGCCATTCCCACATGAGCTGGATCAGGCCTGTAAGGCTTGAGGCTGCCCCCCGCTCCCACTGCTGCAGAAATCCAACCTCATGGAGGGGTGGGGCTGGAGCAGGGAAGGGCCCAGCTCTGAGCCCGTGGCCCACCTGCAAGACAGTCGTGGACCACACTTTGAGAACCACTGTCCCAGATGAGGTACTGGATGCTCATTGTGACTGTACTTTGGGATGTGAGCTTGTCTTGGTGGGACAGGGCAGAGGAGGAGGTAACTGTTTCGAGGCCTGGTGGCAGCCGGAAATCCGGACCCTTTTGAATTATTGTCGGGGCCCCTGCCCTACAGTCTGGGCAGCGCAGAATGACTGGCAGGGGGAGGCTCGCCCCAGCCCAGCCCTTCCACCCAAGGCCCTGCCCCTTCCGTTAAGGCCCCGAGCCAGCCCCTTTTTCCAGGAGCCTGGCATTTCTGTCCTCCCCTCTGTCCTGGCCTCTCCTTGGGGTCTTTCTCTCCTTCCTATGCCTTCTCCAGCTCCTGGTCCCTCTTCCACCCTGTCCCCACATCAGTTCCCTTCTCTGCTTCTGTCTTTCTCTCTGCTTTTACCCTGCCTTCCCCACCTCACTCCCCACCCCGCCTGCTGGCATGCGAATCCCTCCCCTGCGTTTGCTCCCACACAGCCCATCTGGTTTCATTGCCATGGGCATAAAGCCTTCAGCAGGCCAGGCAGCCATAAAAACTCTGCTGCCGTGTACAAGAAATAAACCACAGCTCTGTCTAGGCTCTGACATGACGGGTACTGAGTCCACGTCTCTCTAGCTCAGGGGTGGGGGAACCTTTTTTGGGTCGGAGGCCGCTGACCCACAGAAAAATCAGTTGGCGGCCGCGCACAAACAAGACCCCCACAGGAGGGTGGGGGGTGGAGCACCAGCGAGGGCTCCCCAATGGTGAGCCCCAGGCCTTAGGTTCCCCACCCCCGCTATCTTCTAGGGCTTGTTGCAAAAGAACAGACGTCTTCCCACGGGTGTGCGGGAGGAGGGTCTTGTTTTGACAGGCTGGTAAGAGCTTGTTGGTCCCAGGATACTAGAGAGACACGGGTGAGCTCATGTCTTTTATTGGCCCACCACCTGTTCTAGTGAGAGAGACAAGCTTTTGAGCTATGCAGAGCTCTTCTGCTCCGGGAAAGTACTCCGTGCGATAGACCTGTGTTGGCATAACGACGTCACTATTGGGTGTGAAATCCATGCCCTTGAATGACACAGTTAGTTTAACCTCTCTCCTTCACACACACACACATACGCACACCTCTCTCTCACAAACATACACGCACGCACGTGTAACCCACACACCTAGTGTGGTTACTGAGCAATGCAAGTGGTACCTAGACCACAGCCACCATCAAGAGACCTCTACAGCTGGGAGC